TTTTTGGATAAATTGGTGGTGGTGATGACATCCTGATTTATTCAAGGACACCGGAGGAGCATGGAGAGCACTTGAGGTTAGTGCTAGAAGATTTTGGAAGTGAAGCAGCTGTATGCTAAGCTTTCAAAATGTGAGTTCTGGTTGGAGAAGGTGAAGTTCTTGGGACATGTGATCTCAGCTGAGGAGATTGCTGTTGATCCGGCTAAGGTGGAGTCGGTATTGCAGTGGGAATGTTCCAGGACTGTCACTGATGTTCGAAGTTTTGTGGGTTTGGCGGGTTACTATCAAAGGTTCATTGAGGGATCCTCCAAGATAGTAGCGCCTCTGACCCAGCTAACAAGGAAGGAGCAAACGTTCATTTGGACTGATGCTTGTGAGCGGAGTTTTGATGAGCTGAAGAGGAGGTTGACTACTTCTCCTGTGCTGGTGTTGCCCAACTCTGGTGAACCTTTTGATGTGTATTGTGATGCTTCTCACCAGGGTCTGGGGTGCGTGCTGATGCAAAACAGGAAAGTAGTGACATATGCTTCAAGGCAACTGAGTTGGCAGCAGTTGTTTTCGCCTTGAAGATATGAAGGCATTATCTGTATGGTGCTCGGTTCAGTATCTTCAGTGATCACAAGAGTCTGAATTACCTGTTTGATCAGAGGGAGCTGAACATGAGGCAGAGGTGGTGGATGGAGTTTCTGAAGGATTATGACTTCCAGTTGATGTATCATCTTGGGAAGGCCAATGTTGTGGCGGATGCGCTGAGTAGGAAATCCATCCACATGTCTAGTATGATGGTGAAAGCGCTGGAACTGGTTGAGGAGTTCAGAAATCTGAATCTCTGTGTGGAGTTAGCTTAGGATCACATTAGTTATGGGATGATTACCATAACTAGTGAGTTCTTGAGGCAGGTTAGACGGAAACAGTTGCAAGATGTCGAGCTGGTGAAGCTTTTTTGGTTGCTGGGTACCGAAAAGGCTGTTGGTTTTGAGCTGGGAGGAGGTCCTACCGCTGGTTGAGTTCACTTACAATAATAACTTTCATGCTAGTATTGGGATGGTGCCGATTGAAGTCTTGTATGACAGGAGATGTAGGACTCCTCTGTGCTGGCATCAAGATGGGGAGTCAATGGTTGTGGGACCGAAGTTGACCCTACAAACTACTGAGAAGTTGAAGCTGATTCAGGAGAGGATGAAGACTGCTCGGAGTAGGCAGAAATCATATGCAGATAAAAAGGCATAAGCCTTTGGAGTTGCGGAAGGGGAACATGTATTTCATGTGTCCCTGCTGAGGAAGTATGTCTATGACCCTGGTCATGTGGTTGAACTAGATGATGTGCGGGTGAAGGAGAAATCTGACGTTTGAGAAGTTGCTGATAGCTGTGGTTGATCACAAGCTGAAGGAGTTGGGGAGCAAGTCCATTGCTCTGGTGAAGGTGTTGTGGGATGCAGCTACTGGTGAGGCTACTTGGGAGGTGGAACAGCAGTGCAAGGAGCGGTATCCGTTTCTTTTCCCAAGTAAGTCTATTTTCGGGGACGAAAACTCTTGTTGTTGGGGAGGTTGTGAGACCCGTGCCTTCCTTCTCTTCTTCTCCTTCTCAACTCTCACTAAACTCACTTACTCTTTCTTTTCTCACTATCTCTTGTTGATCCTTTCTTGGTGGTGGCCGAATTGATTCATAGGTGCGGAGTAGGTGATTGTTTCTGAAGCTGTGCGGAGCCTTCTAAAGTCTCTCATTCTCCCATTTACTTCTCCTCCTCCTTCATTGTCGTCTTCCTTCCAGTTCGAAAAATTTCATCAAACCTGCACAAATCAACTTCCCAGGCACATGCAATCGGTTCAAATTATCACATTTCCATCCAAGAACCCAAAAATACTACCTTTTTCAACATGCAACAACAAATCAAGGATTTCCCCAAATTTTCTCAAAAACCCCAAAACCCCCAAAAACAAGTTCTCATTCAACACAGTTAATGATGTGAGACTTGATTTGTATCTCAACAAAATATTCAAAAGTCTATTAACATTTGGTGCACCACCATACACAGATAGTTTGGAATGAACTATGTTTTTCATTAAAATTTGCAAGATTGAATTTTTCATTTTCGTTTCCTACAAACAAGCATTTGTGTTGCTGCGATTGTGAAGTCTGTATCCGTTACTATTTACTAAAATAGGAACTGTGATTGGGAACTAGAAAATTCTTATACCAAAAGCTTCCATTAAGCTCAAGATCAAGAAGAAAAAGGACAGTTTCATTATTGTGATTTGTGAATGAAGATAAGCCTCGTCTACTTTTTCCCTTCTCAGGATCAAGAAAAGAATTTCATTTATCTTTTAAACTGACCATTCAGATTATAAGTGACTTTGATTTTTAGATTGAACAATGAAGAGAAAATATGAGAAAGAGGTTCATGTACGAAATTTCTCATTCAGATTAATTTTTCAAGAAAAGAATTTCATTTATCTTTTAAACTGACCATTCAGATTATAAGTGACTTTGATTTTTAGATTGAACAATGAAGAGAAAATATGAGAAAGAGGTTCATGTACGAAATTTCTCATTCAGATTAATTTTTTTTTTACACTAGCCAAAGTAAGACAACAAAATTGCGGAGAGAGAGAATATATTCAAGGTAAGAAACTATGATACAAAAAATGTGTCAACTTTAGTCTATGTGAGTTTCATCTTCATGGGATTAGCACCTACTCAAGAGAGAAGTGGTATATCCAAGAACGCATCTTCTCTGCAAGGAATTGTGAGACCACCCATTGGATGGTCATACCCGAATTCTTCTTCAGCTTGACTCAACAAATCTTGAAATGAAGGTTGGTTCAAGTATGATATTGGGATCACAAACCGCTTCATTTTTTCTCCAACATAGATTGCAAGGTAGCCCTTAGGTACATTCCCCTCTTTTGAAGATGCTTGATTTTCAGCAAATGATGCCTTTCTGATACCAGGTAAACGGAAACCCATTGTTGTATGTGCTGAGACTTGGGATGAAAATATTATGAAAATAGACTCTTTTAAACAAGATATACAAGTTTTTGAACTTCAAATGCTTTAGGATGTGAATGATTTTTGTTGTCCTAAATGCTTATAGCCATGAAAATATATAGATGAAAGAATTTGTAAGAAATGGTTCACTACATGAATGATTGAGGGGGGAGGACTATGATATAAGAGTCATATGGGACCAACAGAGAGACAAGGGCATATGGTATTGTATTGCCCTTGAGGACTTTCGCAAAGATCAATGTGACATTTTATAGTAGACAACACGGGTCCCGCCTTCTGGTGCAAATCTCACTTGAAATAAAACAGACGTATGATCTCAAACCTCAAGAATATATAGTGGTCAATGATCTCTCACAATCTCAAGCCTTATAATTCATCAGCTAGAAATGAATTTCCAGCTGTACTGTACTTCAACATTAGGCCACGTGAAGAAAACATGTCAAAAGCATGTTAACAAAAATATGGAATACCAATTAATGTTTTGTATGAACAGACTTCAGGTTTTCAGTAGACACATCATATTTGGCTACATGTGGTGGCTTTATGTTGATAAGGTGGGGGTTGCACGCTTGACTACTTTATGCTTGATACAAGTTCTGAAGACCACACCACGTGATATCACATGTCTAGACCCTCCTTCCTTTAACAGTCACTTTCTCTAGGAATTTGGATTTTGGAGAATCTTAAAAGCTATATATACACTATCCTTTGCCTTCACAAACAACACAAGCTATTGGCATCCTCAAGAATCAACATTTAGGTTCATTCTCAGTAAATTTGAGATTGTTCTTTCCAAAGAAACACAAAATATGGGTTTCCGTTTTCCTTCTATTCGACGGGCATCATTCACATCCAGCCAAGCAGCTTCAAAATCCGTAGAAGTTCCAAAGGGCTATCTTGCTGTCTATGTTGGAGAGAAAATGAAGCGGTTTGTGATCCCTGTGTCATACTTGAACCAACCTTCTTTCCAAGATTTGTTGTGCCAAGCTGAGGAAGAATTTGGATATGATCATCCCATGGGTGGCCTCACAATTCCTTGCAGTGAAGATGTCTTCCAACATATAACTTCTTGCTTGAATGGACAATAAATCTCATCACACTGTAGGACACTAACATAGTTGAGAAATTTTGTACAATAGGCATCTTCTTGTAATGATTATTACCAATTTTTGAGAAATGAAAATGAATTCAATTGCTAAGTGTTTCTCTTTACCAATTAAAATGTTTACTTTCTTCCAGCAATTAGAATTGTAGACAGTATTATAAGGCTGCTTTGTGAACAAAAACAAAAATTAAACTGACTTGATTGTTCTCATGAATTCCACAGCATAACATACCATGGACTTTACAGTCTGGGCAGAGTTAATGGTAGATTGCTAGGAAAAAACAGAAGAAGCACACCTTATTTGAGATGGTTTTGAATGATTTTTAAGTGTTGTACTCACGAAAATTTAAATTCATAGACACAGACCCCAGTCATGCACGAGATGTTACCCCATCAACTGTTAATTTAATGCAGGTAATAGCAGACTTAATTAGTACCAAGATTTATTTAATTTATTGATTTCCTTAACTAATTTTCGTGGTACTGCTGCCAATTTTGTTACCAACTAGAGTCAAATATTTAATGATTTATTTAGCACATACAGAAAAATATGAATGAAAAAAATTATGTTAAATCCATAATGTAATGTTCATATAATTCCATCTATTTTCTTTAATTGATCTTATATCATTCTTCCTTTATCATTTCTTTATTAGCATGCGAAAGATTATCAAGAGTATCAGATATCTCCCTATCGAGTTTTAACAGATTTGCATTCTTAGGATTTAAATCCGAGGCCATTAATTATGTCTGATATGGTCATTCCTTTTGAGATCATTGTAAAATTAAGCAATTTGATAAGAAAAATGATTATATACACTTTAAAAATCAAAAAGGTGATATCTCTAGCTGAATTTTATGATCTGAGTTGAAATATATCATTCAACTGTGTCACATGAGACTTGTATATCTAGTGTTTCTCTATCTATGATCTGTACCAATACTTTATCCCACCATACAACAGTGTTTCAATCTCCAATTGAATTATATGTTGCATTGTACTGTCTGTACTCTTCACTAGTATGAGTGATGAAAGTTGTTATGATAAACAATTGCTTTGATTTTGACTGGACACTGTTGAGTGCAGCTGTTAGGATTTTAATTGCAGTTTTCCTAACAAGGTCTTGCGTCGCGCCTTGCGCGAAGAAATGCGTCCGACGCGAATTCAAACGGTAACTCTCCCCAGTTCGAAAAATTTCATCAAACCTGCACAAATCAACTTCCCAGGCACATGCAATCGGTTCAAATTATCACATTTCCATCCAAGAACCCAAAAATACTACCTTTTTCAACATGCAACAACAAATCAAGGATTTCCCCAAATTTTCTCAAAAACCCCAAAACCCCCAAAAACAAGTTCTCATTCAACACAATCACGAATCAACCATCAATAAGCATCTAGTGAGTTTCTAGAACTCATCCACGGCCAAAAACAGCGACAAAAGAAAGGAATTTACTAGCTTCCCTTACCTCGGTTCAACGGTTGCGAGCTTCGGGAAGGAAGACGACAATGAAGGAGGAGGAGAAGTAAAGGGGAGAATGAGAGACTTGAGAAGGCTCCGCACAGCTTCAGAAACAATCACTTACTCCGCACCTATGAATCAATTCGGCCACCACCAAGAAAGGATCAACAAGAGATAGTGAGAAAAGAAAGAATAAATGAGTTTAGTGAGAGTTGAGAAGGAGAAGAAGAGAAGGAAGGCACGAGTCTCACAATAATAATGTCTATACTTATAGATATTTATTAACTAAAAACAGTAAAATATTTATATATTTATCTTATATTTTTTAATATTATTTTTGATATTTTAACAAATATAAATTCAAAAATTAATATTAATTATTTTTAAATAAAATTAATGTATACAAACTTAAATTTATTATAATATTTAAATTTTTTTAAAATAATATTATAAATATCTATAAATATTTATGATGTATTTATAAAAATCATAAATACTCATTTAATAAATATCACATATAAGACAGATTTTTATCTGAGAAAACACATGCAACTATCTTAAATACTACCAACATCCCTATTATAGAATTTATAATAAGCCATATTTGAATGTTGAGAATCTCCTTGTTGATGAAAGTGACTACATCGTAATTTGTATCCAAAAGCTCCAGAGGTTGCTAATGCTTTTCTTAGCCAAGTTGAATGTCTGAACGTCTTTGAGTTGAGAATTTATTCAAATTATTGGATGATCATACTTTCTCGTTTCTGCATTTCTGGTTTCCTTCTCTCTCTCTCTCTCTCTAGAAGACATTTGAGATTCCTCTCCACTAGAGTTTTGTTCTCATGTAAAAATCTGATTCCTTCCTCTCTAGTCACAGAGAGAGCAAGTGAATCCACGCAAACTCCAACTGTTCAAGTACACGGACGCAGTTGAAGTATGTTTATTTGGAACAGAATAACTTTAACCGCATCTCTAATGTATGTTTATTTTTAGATGATTTTATTTATAATTATTTAAATAATAAAAAATATTATTAAAAATTAATTATTTTTATAAA